ACTGCTGGAAGATGGCAGGAGGGAGGGGCTACTATATTTGGGGGAAAATGGTATTGTATTAATATTTTTACTGATTAACGTTAACTTCATTAAATCACTGCGAACGTTTAGTTTTAGGTATAAATAATGACCCACTGGTTATTCCTCGCTGGCCGGACTTTTCCATTAACCCTGCAGAATCCCGCCCACCTGAGCTGTTTTTTTTCTGTTAGCAAACTAATCCTTTGCTTCTGATCAGACGCCATGTTTTATAAATGAGACCTCAGAACCGGTTCATTTTGGAAACTTTACCAGAAGCAGGTTCTGGTTGAACCCACTGACCTCCTGATGGTCCACCACCAGAACCAGCTCCACGTATTTGGTCTCTGCCAGAATGTCTCTCTTGGTCTGCAGAGGAAACCAATCGGGTCAAACAGAACCTGAGGAAGCCCCTCCCCCGCTGTCCTAGAGGAACACTCTTACCCTCCGGAAGTGGGTCCAGTTGGAGACAGGTGAGTCAGACGTGTGCGACACCCCACAGCCTGCCGCAGCAGCGCCCTCCAGAGGACCGGCAGCAAACAGCAGGTGAAGGTCTTCCTCCTCCCCATCCCGCTGGTTCTGGTCCTGCGGCTGCAGCTCAAAGCTCAGGGAGGAGTTCAGAACCAAGACGCCGCTGCAGGAAACCAACAAATGAACAAGCTGGAGAGCTTTAAGCCTTAGAGCAGCAGAAGAAGAACAGATTTCAGAGTTTCAGGCTGCAGGCAGAACAGAAGATGCTCCGACCTGCTTCCAGAACCATCCAGAACCATCTTCCTCAGTCATCCAAAGGTCTGAGTGAGGAAGAGGAGGATGTGGCTGCTGGAGATGTTCAGGAAGCGGGGGTTGGGCAACGACAAACCCAGCCCTGTTGCTAACCAGCAGGTCAGAACCGGCCTCTTATAACACTTTCCTCTGAGGCTGCGTTCGCTCTGTTTTTCTGCATCTGTCCACAGTGGCCTTATTTTTGAGGTATTTCTATGCTGCAGTTCTGTCCAGGTGGTGTAGAATCTATAACAGGTGGTTCTACGCATCAAATCAGGAGGTTTCTGACAGTTACAGGTTCTTTAAAATAAAATTCTGATATTAGAAAATGTAATTGGTTTCATAATTTTGGAATACTTAAGTATTTTAATGTTTGACCAAGTAACCATTGCTTGTAGTTGAGTAATATCTGACTGTAAGTATCAGTATTTTTACTCAAGTACTACAGCTGAGCTCTGGTTCCTACCCTGCATAGGAACCAGGGAGCAGCTTTATTCAGAGTGAACCCATCAGAACTTTGGGTTCTGTTACTGACCGGAGTCCGGAGCAGGTGCTGAGAGCCGCTCTGGACCGCGGGAATCCTCGGACGCTGCCGTGGTAATAACAGTGGCTCTGCAGACGACAAACACAGCGGTACCGTCAGAGCCGGAAAACCCAAACAGAACCGGTCCGACGGGCCGCGGCTCGCCGACTCACCACAGGGTCGGCCATGGCGGACACTCCGGTGCCGTTGGGGAGATAGAAGAAGAGGTCAGGAGGTCTGGGCAGCAGGAGGCTGCAGAGGGAGAACAAATGGGCTTAAGGTTCGGTCCAAATGAGCTGCACGGAGAAGTTCTGCAGGACTCACTGGTTCTTCTCCAGGTCCAGCAGGAGGAGCTGTCCTCCCACCTCCAGCCCACACTGCAGCCTGTCGGGGTGGCCATCCTGAGAACCACCAGCAAAAACAAACCGGATCAGAACCAGCAGAGAACCTTTCAGATAAAGGTTACAATAAGG